CTTATGGAAAAACGGAGAATATCCGGAGGAATGGAAGCGAGCCAATACCATTCTCACACCCAAACCAGGTAAACCACTCAGCCTGGATAACCTCAGTCTAATCTCACTTACGCCACGCCTAGGTAAAGCTATGGAACACGTCATTGTCAACAGGCTCACGCGTTACGTCGAACAACATGACATACTCCCATGTATCATGATCGGTTTCCGTACCAGGCTGTCGACTCAGGACGCCATGCTCCTGATCAAGCACCAGTTCATACAGGTTAGCCCAGTGCATACGAGAGTGCTCCTAGGTCTCGATGTCGAAAAAGCTTTTGACCCCATAGAGCATAAGGCCATCCTCGAGTTCCTATCCACGCTGGGTCTGGGCGAGAAGCTTTTCCGCATAGTCAAGTCGTTTCTTAGTGGTAGACAAGCGAGCCTCACACTAGAAGAACTAAAATCTAAGTTGGGGGCACTGGGGAACCGAGGCACCCCACAAGGAGCTGTGCTCTCACCCATGTTATATAATTTAACAATTACTAGAGTTGCGAGGGATTTTGAGCGGCTAGAAGGTATACACTTCGCAATATATGCCGACGATATAACCATATGGAGCACCAACGAAAACATAGGCCAAACGGAGACTAGACTTCAGGAGAGTGTAGACATCGTGGAAAGCACTCTCGGCGAAATGGGGCTAAATTGTTCGGCAGCAAAGTCAGAACTTTTGTTTATAAAAAAATCGAGGTAGGGGTCGAAGACCCAAGGGCTATGTCCCAGGTGAGGAACCCAAGATTATATTGCGCTGTCAGGACGGATTCGCAATCAAGAAGGTCGAAAAAATTAAAGTTCTAGGCTTCTACATAGAAGCGCGAGGGAGCCACCTCACTGCCATTCAGCATATTTCCAAAAAAACTGATCAAGTACTCAGGCTTCTAAAGGGAATCACCAACCGACACAGGGGCCTCGGTGAGGACAGCACTCTAAGGCTACTACATGCTTTCCCTCTCTGTCACTTCACCTACGTGGCAGGTCTGTCTCCTCCAATGGTCGCAGGCCGAGCTGAACAAGCTCAACACCATTATCATAAGTTAGTCAAAGCTGCCCTAGGTATACCCAACAGTGCGTCGAACGAGAAACTCGTGAGCTTAGGCGTGCACAATACTATGCAAGAAATGGCTGAAACGCAACAGACGGCGCAGCAGGAAAAACTAACGAGAACACATGCGGGGTAGGCTGATACTCAAGGCAATCAGGTCAGTCTCCAATAGATCAAAGAACCCGAAGGAGGTCGAGGTCGAACTGAACGCGAAGCTTAGAGACGTGATAAGAACCACTCCCCTGACGAGAAACATGCATCCAGAACACAATGTCAGCAGGCGAAAAGCGAGAGCGAAAGCTTTATTGAAAGAAATCGAACAGGTAGGACAACAGGCGGCCGTCGTGGACACAGCCTGGGTGAAAGGCCAAGAGGCCTACACGGCTGTGGTGGTCGACAGCCAGGGAGAGGTACGGGACGCCCTGACTATACTCACTAAAGATTGCACGGTTGCAGAACAAGCCGCGATTGCTTTAGCTATCAGGAACAGAAAATGGTCATACGTCTATAGCGACTCCAAAGCAGCAATTACGAGCTTCGACAAGGGCTATGTCGCTGGGACTGTGGTTAAACTTATGAACAAAGTCAGTCCTATCGATACTGAAATTCGATGTTTTTTGCGCATATGGGACAAGTGGACGAAACTCGGGTCAACCTCAGTGAGGTGACGAATGACCTGGCACGAGGACTCGCTTGCCGTGCCGGTCAGACCCGATCCGACGCCCACTACCATTCCGGGGGCTATAAAGATAATTTAATCACTTACAACGACATCACAAAATATTATTACTTGGGGCATAGGCAATTCCCACTGCCACATGCAAAATCGAACAGGGCTCAGGCAGTCACGCTACGTTTACTGCAAACCGGAACTTACCCCACTCCGTATTTTCTACATAAAATTCTCCTTGGCAGTGAAATTCAAGACAAGTGTGACGCGTGCGATGGCATCATTGGGATCAGACAGACACATGCTGGCGGGCTGTCCCACGACTCTCGCCGACCCCGAAGAACAATGGCTTTACTGGCAGACGATGGTGTGAAGCGCGTCTTATCAAGACCAACTACGGGCAGTCCAGAAGGTCCACCATGACGCCACAAGGCTCGACCTGACGGTACCGATGTGGACGCTGCCCGCCGCGGTCTGAAAAGACTGGGCTTCCCCGCCGTGGTGGTGTCTAGTGGCTAAGGTACTCGGCTGCTGACCCGCAGGTCGCGGGTTCAAATTCCGGCTGCGGCAGCTGCATTTCCGATGGAGGCGGAAATGTTGTAGGCCCGTGTGCTCAGATTTGGGTGCATGTTAAAGAACCCCAGGTAGTCGAAATTTCCAGAGCCCTCCACTACGGCATCTCTCATAATCATATGGTGGTTTTGGGACGTTAAACCCCACATATCAATCAATCAATGAAAAGACCGGGCTTCAGGACACAAATAAAGTTTTGTGAATGAATGAATTCCAAAATCACCATGCTTGCCACGAGAACTCTTTCGGTAAGCAAGAAAATGCGCAAAAAGAAAATTCTGGTGGCTTCACATAGTTGCATTAATGCATCAATTGCTGTGACTTCATAAATTTTGGTGTTTTTTTACTAAGTACTACATTGGTCTTAAGTACTAAAAACAAAGTAAACCGACTTCTGAGATGGCTCTAGACTTAACGTGCTAAGTCTCAGGCAATTACTTAGAGGGAATGTCGCTAAAGTTAAAAAAAATACACATTGAAATTCGTGATATTATGTGCAAAGATTTCAGTGCGAAATTCAGAAATAAATGTTTTACTTATATTTTTTCACCAATTAATAAACCTGAGATGATGAAAATAACGACGTGAAAATTCTCGAAGCGTTTTTCAATCTAAAGATGCTTTGTTCTAGGTCAGGGTTCATTTAATATTAAAGTGTTTGAGGTATTTTCTTCTCTGAAGTGCTCCATTGAAAACATATACCTATGCCAAAGTGTTCCTAATAGTAAGATTACGTGCTCCAAAACTAAAATTTTGCTGGTGTAAAATGCTTCTAATAGCAAGATTATTCGTTCCAAAATGCTTCAAAACTAAAATTTTACTGCTCAAAGGTGCTCCTGATTGCAAGATCACTTGCTCCAAAATGTTCCAAAACTAAAATTTTACTGCTACAAAGTGCTCCAAAACTTGCGCCAAATGGGGATCGCTGAGTGTTGGATGACAACGTGATAAGATTGAGGTGGAAGAAAAGTGCACTCATACATTTTGCCATGTTGACTGTTTTGGCGCGTCCTTCTATTTTGCTAGGTGTTCCCATAGGGTGTACTTTGCGCTGCAAATGCTATGAAGATGCCGAGCAGACACCACAACAACACAATCCGGATGTTGAGCAGTGCTGCAGAAGGCCACAGCAGATGGACGGCCTTGGTAGTGAGGCGGCCACGGTGTTGAGGCACCATCTAGTTTTGAATGAACAAACCAGCTGCAGGAAATCGTCTACATCTCCTTCGGGCGCCGTGTATACAGTTGTGCACATAAACTTCAGAGGTGCCTCATGCACCACGTGTTCCTGCAAATGGCTTGAAGGTAGTGTTGCGGAATGGGTGCCTTCATTCCAGTTCACTCTGGGGAATTAGGATTTGCCGCAATTCCATTCCTTTAAATTCCTCGGAATGAAAAAAATTGACCCATTCTCTCTCCAGTAATTCCTTAAATTCCTCAACGTGACAAAAGGTGACAGAAACTAGAACAAAGGCGAGAAGGGTGTGAAGACGGCAGATGGCTCGGGACTGTCGCTGGAGGGCCGCCAAGGGCAAAAAAAAATATCGTAAGGCGTAAAGGGGCGCATGCTGCCACCGTAGTTCCGCGGTTACGCGACAAATAAAGACAAACTTCAGAGGAGCAAAGTTGCTATGAAGACAAACTTGTAGTAGGGCACGTTGCTTTTATTTTATTTATTAATTTTATTTACAGAATACTGCGGTCGAAAGACCAAGCAGGGGGGCATAATAAAAAGTGATTCACAGTGTAACTTAAATAAAAGAAAGTTCAAGCAATAAAAACATGTTAAGGCAGTAGAACACATGTATTGTGTTCTACTGTATTGTGGCAGTATTATATTGTGGCAGTAAATGTATTGTGCTTCTAATTAGCCAAATCATTTAAAAAACGTTGCTTTATTGTTAAATTCGAGGTGCTGATCTACTAGTGTGTGAATTTCGAAGAACAGCACACGAAACAGCAGACGAACAGCAGACAAAAACGTGCTATATTTTTGACAAAAGACGTAATTCTATTCTCATTTCATTCCAGGCAAATTGTGCTTGATTCCATTCCCATTCTATTCTTTCAAGCATTGTCCCCATTCCATTGCCATTCCATTTCAGGGTCGCGAAAATGTGGAATGATTCCGGAATCGTTCCCATTTCCGGAGTGGCAACTCTGCAACACTGCTTGAAGGCTTCCTGAGGGGACAATAACAGTCATTCAACCTCACTGTGCTCAGCTTTACTCAATGTTTTTTCTCTCCACGTATTGCTGCAGAAGATCACATTGTTGGAGGTACTACCACAGTCGGCAATCGTTCCACGAGCTGTGTTTCAAGACTAACATCGAGAACATTTTTTTTGCACAAGATGAGTACAACCGAAAAGCAAAATGTGCATTCATTTTGGGTCTAGTATTTCATTGTTCTTTATGCAAGGATTCAAATGGACCAATTACAAGAGAATTAGATATTGAAGTGTATGGAAATAACATTAATTACTGAAATTCACTAAACAACGCATTCCTTTATTTTCTTAAAATGTAATACTGAGTGCCTTGAAATCGTGCTGTGAATGTAGCACATTTGCTAACAGTGTATCACAATTTGTGCCTTAAGGTGATATTTTGGCTTCGATACTAGATTAGTTCACGAGTGCTTATAATGAGCCAAGGAGAGCCTGTGTGCAGGTGCAGCGGGCCCCCCCATCGGTCGTGGCTGCACCAGTTTACGCCTGCAGTGCCAGGCAGCTGGTCACACGCGTCTGCAGCTGAGCCATGGACCACTGAGATCTACTGTGTTGCTTGGCTGCTACAAGCCTCTGAGGGTGGGTGTCTCATCTCTAAACAATATGGGGTGTGCAAAAGGCCGCTGGAATTTTACTTACCTGCTTCGTTGTCATTATTGGCCTATTTTTATTTGCATTGCAGGACAAAAGCCTTTCCGACTGATCTCCAAATTGCCCAGTGCTGTGCTAGATGATTTCATTCAATGCCTGTATCACGAGCCTACTGTACGAGCATGCATCACCCGTGTAAGATGCATGCTCGTACCAAAATGTCGAAATCTGGGGCAAAATTTCTAGGTTGCCCGTGGGTAAAATTCGTTACATCAAGGTTGTATCCCACTGTTACTTTGTTACATAGAGGTCCCAAATACATGGGCTTTTATGGAGCAACGGCAGGTAATATAAAAGCTTCTTTATATCGAAGAATTTGTTTATGGAGGGTCGTTATAAGCAGGTTTAATTTTATAACCAGTGTATCAGGGGGATATTTTGTAAACGTCTTGTCACAGAACAATGGAGGAATGGAATGGAAGAATGCGAGGTAGCAAATAGCAAACAGCCAACAGGTGAGCTGAAGAAATTCAAAAATGCTTTCAATGCATATATACAATAATACGTATCAAAGCTGAACATCAACATTTGCAGGCCATTGTTTTCCAAAGCTTGAGATTGAAAAGTGCGTGGACTTTGACATTTTATTTGTGTTAATTTTTTTAGCAGATGCTAGGTGGTGTCGCAATTTGATGAGTTGTTTGGAAGCGCTTTTCCCAAACTGTCGGCCCAGGATTGTGGTACGCCAGGCACAAAACAAACTAATTTGGTTCTTTGGGGTCGTGCGGCTATGTTTCGATGCAATCCACATCGTATGGAGAACATTTTGTATCCGTTTTATAGACAGAATGGGCCTTCCGCTCGTTCTGTGACTATTCACTCATATTGACCATTATACGAACCTCGACTAATTCTGCACGGCTCCCTCTTGTGGATCCATTCGGTCCCTCCTGGCTTCTTCCATTCCGTCACTCGTTTTTTCATGTTGTACCTTACCAAAAAAACTTGCCCTCAATTCTTTTGCTTTCCTTCATTATGTCATTGCAATCGTTTTGTTTTCTGGGACACCTAGGAGATGCATGATGTAATATATTTGACAAGACATATATTTAATTTACTTGCATAAAACCACTGTCTGTTCACAAACTGTGGGCTAGTGTTGTGAGATGGTGCTCACTCTTGGCTGACTGTTGACTTGTTATGGGTAATTTAATTGACTAAGTGCATGCTAATATTGACTAACTGTTGGCTACTATGTGCACATTTTGACTGGTGGTGGCTAATCTCTGCTGGTTGACACAGTACAGTGAAACCTCATTAATACATGCCTGCAAAAAACGGCCCAACGTGGTATACAGACGATGCCTGATTTCCCAGAGCCACAACAAGGTACTGCGAAAACTTCTGGAAAATTAGGCAGTCCAGAAAAATGAATGCAAGCTAGGACACACTTTTTAGTAGGTATTTCTCGCTTAAGAAGAGGGTCACGGCAGAAGTACGGGATTCTCATTGCAATTCAGCAAATGGATCATTTACGTGACTCTGAAAAGAGTCGTTTATTATTAAAGAAAACATAACAAAAGAAAGAAAAAAATTAACAAAAATTTGATGTGGCTATTACTACTGCATTTGTAAACACTTGGGCGCACACAAGGAAAAATTTGCTTATTTTCATATGCGGTGCTTTCCACTTGCCTGCAGAGATGTCTGCCTCAATTTCTGCTAACGCCATGCTGTCGCTGTCCCCCGATGACAGTGTCGGTGCTCGCGTCAACTCCGAGCTCATTGGCTGTGTAGACGCTGCCTCTGCGATTTCGGTGTAAAGGCTGGTGCACACCGGTGACTAGCAGCAGTCGCGCAACCATTTGCGACTGGTCGCAAACAGTCGCGAACGGTCGCAAGTGGTCGCGAAGCGACTGCTTTGGCTAATCTCTTCCTGAACGATTTTTCAGTCGCGCGACTGCAGTCGCAAAGTTGCTGGAACCAATCAGCGATGCTCAATTTTTGTTCTTTTGTTTTTCATTGCGCTGGCTTCCTGCCGCCAGATACAAACGAGTGCGTTCCTCTGGGTCTGTGGGAGCATGGCCACCACGGAATAGTTGGCTTGGAGATGGCGGGGCGCAGCAGCTCGAGCAAAGTGTCGAATTCACGTGGCGGTATTCGCAAGAAGGTAAACACCATGAAAGTGAAGATAGTATAAATTGTGCACTATCTTTTCCCCGTATTCAGAACCGTTTTATTGCCTTGAACTTGATTTGTCGCCGCCTTCAATGCAGCGCGCTTGGAACGCGTTTGTGCTTCATGCCTTGCCAACGGCTTAAGACACCACGTTCGAGACGCGTTTGTGCTGTATTGTAGGCTGCGGCAAGTCAATTTCAAAGACTCTTTCTGAATACAGCGACTCTCGGAAACACTCTTTGTCGTCTCAGCGCAGCTCGGTAGGCAGGTGGCTTGCATGGCCGGCCAACTCCCGCGATCGAAATGACGGTCACACCCACTACCGGCCTTTTTTCTTTGCCGGCATCTGTGATGCCAGCGCTGACACCATGGCACAGCGCATCACCACCATGACAATGTCTAGTTCTTCGCTTCAATCGAAGTTGACCCTGTTGGGAACGTTGTGCGAGAACGGACGAAAACAATAAATGCAACGCGCCCGGTTTGCTCCGCTCACTCAGCTGGTGGTGATCAGCTGATCGGTGCCGATCTCTAGAGTTCTCCCGGATAACGAGATCCGGACGTGACTCTCCGCTTTTGCGACTTACAGTCGCTCGCATGCAGCCCCTGCCGGTGTGAACATCAGTCGCTTTTTGGTCGCCAGTCGCAAATGGTCGCGCGACCGCTGCTAGTCCCCGGTGTGCACCAGCCTTAAGAGTCGTCGGAATCCTCCACAGCTTGAAGAATGATTTTGTCATTGGTCAATTCCACACACAGCTCGAGGTCTTTGTCAGCGTTGACGAAGCCCTCAAAGGTTATCCCGGCTGGAATCAAAACACCGGCATCGTGCAGACCGTCGAAGGCAAGGTTCGCGAATGGAGGTTCGTCACAAATGCTGTCCACTCCGGGCGAGACAGCTGTTTTGGCGTCCAGTGTGAAGTTTGCATAGCGAAAATAGTTCCGGAGGGTCTGTTGTGTAACGGCCTTCCACGAGTCTGAAAGCGATGGCAGAGCACATGTGTCTGTCAGTCGTTGCCACTTCGGCTGTGTTTTTTCTGTATATTTACCCGCAAAGGCATCACTGCAATCAAATAAAAGGCAGAATAATTGATCGGCCAATCTCTGCACTGATTAAAATTATTTCCGTCTTTGAAAACTTGAATTTCTTGGCCAGAGCATTCTCATATCGACATTGCTACCTCATTAATGTGGTAGATTGGCGTCAACATGAGAAGCTTTCTATTTCAAACAGCGATTTTGGGTGAACGCTCATGGTCCCGATTACCAGAACTGCACGGCAAAAAAAGATGTAGCGCATCGAACGGCGAACGAACGAAGCGATAGACGCATTCCCATCTTCGGCGCTGGCTCTGTGCAAGTGTTCACGCTGCTTTCCTTGCTTGCTTTCTTTTTTCTCACCCGTGTTTTCACCTCTCGCAAGCGGTGCAGCTAAAGTAGGGTATAGTGGAGCAACTTTACGACTTATGATTAGCGCCTTTATCAATGTAGCCAGCAGTTAAATGCCTATCCGCTGTTGGTGCTCAGCTGTCACAGCTAGAAGAAAAAACAAGCGCAAACTTTTACTGCCAGACAGAAAAATACTACAGTATTTTTAAGACACCATTTAATGCTTAATAGTTGGCTTCTGAAGTATGTATATATAAATATTGTGGGCATTCATTATGCGCTTCTTCTCATATATGCATTATCATAATCATCATCATCCATCCGGTTCCCTGTCCTCATCTTCACAATCATCATCGGGTGTGTGCGCGCTCAGTCTCAGACTGCCCGTTTGCTACGGAGCCCTTGGCTGAATAAAAGCTGTCTCAACCCAGACTTCATAATATATATATATATATATATATATATATATATATATATATATATATATATATATATATATATATATATATATATATATATATATTATGGTTGTTTGGTTGTTTCTTGACAGAAAAGTCAAGAAACAACCATTTAACACTGCTTTAGCTACACGCTATAAAAAATACTCGAATGTTCTTTCGTGTCTCTTGAAAAATGCCAAGAAAAAATATTATGATGACCAAATATCTAGTGAAAAAAACAACTCTAAAAGACAATGGCAACTATTAAACGATTTTCTAAATCGATCAATGCATAGTTCACCTTTGCAGACAGTAATATATAAAGGCGTTACACATGATAACCCTGAAAGTGTTGCTGATGCTTTTAGTAATTATTTTTTCGAAATTTTTAGTGAAAAACATAGCAGTTCTTGCTGTAATCTGCGGCGTTGTAATCATTCTTTTTTTCTTTTCCCCGTGAGCCCTGATGATGTTTCTACAGCAATCAAAAGTCTCAAAGAAACCGGCCCTGGTATAGATAAAATCTCAGCACGACACTTAAAACTTGCAGTAGACATTATTTCTGAACCACTTTCCATAATTATAAACCTTGCGTTCAAGCATGGCAGTTTTCCTACTTCTCTAAAAATAGCTAAAGTCCTTCCGATCTTTAAAAAGGGTGACAAGCAATGTATTTCTAACTATCGCCCCATCTGTATTCTTTCTTCCCTGAGCAAGGTCATCGAAAAACTGTTAATAACTCGGCTAAACAAGTACCTTAATAAATTTAATATACTGAAGCCCTGTCAATTGGGCTTTCACGCTGGAAGTTCTACTAACCTTGCTATTCTTTCCCTATCAGACTTCATCAAACACTCTATAGACGCAGGATTTGTAGTAGGGTCAGTTTTTTTAGACTTCACAAAGGCATTCGATACCATCAATCATCTCATTTTATCCAAGAAACTTGAATCATACGGTATTACAGGTCCATCCCTCAAATTT